GAAGGATATCCAGAAAGTTTAAAATGGGAATGCACTCTTCCGGGGAGGCACCAATACCAATGGTGTATCTGCCAGTGGGATGCAGCTCAAGGCACCTATATTTGCCACTTGGCCACCTGGTTAGGGTTCCAACTTGTAATTGTACACACTGAGAATAAGGGCCTACCGCTGAATTTGACCAGAAGCTATTGGCGGCATGGCCTTGTCTTTAACTAGGGGCTTGTGGTCTGTTACTATCACAAATTTACGTACGTAAAGGTATTGGTGGAACTTTCTCACATCATAGGTAACTGACAAACCTTCCTTCTCTTTCTGGGTGTATTTGTGTGCGGCACCAGCCAAAAGGTCCGGGACGCGTACGTTATCAGGCACTCCTCTTCTTTGGGCCACCGGTGAGCCAACATTATCCCTATACCGTATGGGGAGGCATTGCATGTCAGCACCACATCTCACTTGGAATAGTAGTGGGCCAACACCTTCGATGATGAAAGCTGCTTCTTCATTTCCCTCAAGGCTACTTCTTGGCTATGCGACCATTTCCAAGGCTGATCCCAGGTGTCAGGGTGCCAAGATGGAGGCCAGGTTTTGTATGAATTTTCCGTAATAATTCACCAACACGAGGAAAGACCTATGCTCTGGTACAGACGAGAGAGCCAGAGCACCTCTGATCGCCCTCACTTTATCTTCCAATGGGTGTAACCCGGTCTGGTCGACTCTGTAGCGCAAGGAGGTTACTATTACACCCACCTAGGGGAAACATTTAAGGGCTTTGTCTTTATTGATCTTCGCTGTTATTAGCACGCCATCCAAGTAAATGGCAACCTGGGGTAGACGTTGTAAAATGTTCTCCATGGTCCGTTAGAAAAGGATGCAGGCTGATGTTACCCCAAATGGCAACCTCGTGTATTGGTACAAACCCGTATGGTTTTTAATTGTGGCGTATTTCTGGGACTCCTTATCTAGTCGCAATTGCAGTAGGTGTAGCTCCCCCCTATCCTGTGCCTGCTTTGCGTATAAAATCTTCTCTGCGGGAGATTGGGTATTTATCCACAAAGGTGAACCGACCCATCAAGCTTCACAATTGGCACGACCGGTGCTGCCCATTCCACACCCTGGGCTGGTTTAATAATTCCCTCACTTCCCAGCCTCTTGGTTTCTGCCTCTACTTTCACCCGTAAGGCAGGTGGCACCAGGTGGGCCCTCACAGGATTGTGGGATTGTTTCCTGGTCAATATGTAAGTTTGCCTTGGCTCCTGTGACAGTCCCTGGACCTTCCTGAAAAATTTCTGGATGTTTAGTTAGGACTTCACTCAGGAAGCCATTTTTCAATCGAAAAATGTGAGCCAATCAAGATGGATCTTTCTCAAACAATTTCACCCCCATCAAGCTTGGGCCTGAACTTTTTACTACAATCAGTGATAACTGCACCAACTGCTTATCATAGGAGACTGGAACCGAAGTCGTAACCTAATTTGTGACAGTTCCCCAGCACATCTTCTCAGTCTGGCCAAGGGTTTGCACAAATTTAAGGGTTGGAGTCCAGAGCGGACCTTGTTAAAGACTGGTTCTGCAATCACTGATGACTCTGTGACGGTATCAACATCCACGACAACTGGGTGACCATTGAACCGGAAATTTGTTTTGATTGGTCCAGAACAGATGCGATAGAGATGGAGGAAATGGGAGAATGGAATGGAGTCTTTACAGGAACCAGGGTGTGAGGATGTATAGTCCAGGTAGCTGTGGAAGTTGGTTGGTTTGTACTTGGATATTAGTGGCCAGTCTGTCCGCAGAAATAGAAACAGATGTTGAGGGAGGGAAGGCAGGATGGACCAGGTGAAAGTGAGGGTTGGGTGGAAAGTGTAAGCAAAATAGATTAAACGTTTCCAATTCTGGACCAGAGAGGGAGGCAGCACTGATGATATCATTGATATACAAGACAAAGAGTTGCGGGTAGGGGCCGGAAGAGGACTGGAACAAGGAATGTTCCACGTACCCCATGAAGAGACAGGCATAACTAGGGCCCATGCGGGTACCCATGGCCACCCCTCTGACCTGAAGAAAATGAGGGTTGAAAGAGAAGTTGTTGAGGGTGAGGATGAGCGGAGGAGGATGTTGGTGGGTGGGGACGGTTCAGGCCTTTGCTCCAGGAAGAAGCAGAGAGCCCTGAGACCATCCTGGTGGGGGTGTGGATGTGTAAAGGGATTGCATGTCCATGGGAAAGAGGAGGCAGCTGGAGCATGCAAACTGGAAATTCCGAAACTGACATAAAGCATCAGAGGAATTGCGGATGTAAGTGGGAAGGGGCTGAACAAGGGGAGAAAAATTGAGTCAACATAGGAAGAGAAGGGTTCTGTGGAGTAGAACTCACTTATGTGAGGGTCTGTCCATGAGGTCCCTGCTCCTAGAGATGGAACGTAATTTACAACACACGTCACTTCATCATTATTTACTATTAAGTTAATGTTTATTGTTTGTTATTCAATGTCATTATTATTATTTATTGTCTATTATTTATTGTCCATTACTTATTGTTGGTAATAATTATTATTAGATACTTGTTTAATAGTGTTAAATATTTGTTACTGTTCATAATTATTTATTATTTCATGTTATTTATTTTGTATATTTTAACATTTATTATTTGTAATTCATTTCTTGCATATTATTTATTGTTATTTAACATTTAATTTTTTCTATTTATTGTCTACTATGTATTTGTTTATCCTTTACTAGAATTTACCACATCTGTATTGTTAGCCATTATTTAAAATTTAGGACGTTCTTACTGTTTTCATTTATATTTATTGTTCATTATTATAAATATTTATTGTTGCTTAGCATTGTTCAATAGGGCAGGACTTATAGAGTTAATAGTAAGGTCCTGGGGAACGTTGCCGAACAAAGAGACCTTGGAGTGCAGGTTCATAGTTCCTGGAGTCGCAAATAGACAGGGTAATGAAGAAGACGTTTGGTACGCTTGCCTTTATTGGTCAGTGTGTTGAGTACAGGAGTTTGGAGGTCACGTTGTCGCTGTACAGGATGTCGGTTAGGCCACTTTTGAAATACTGCGCTCATTTCTGGTCTCCTTGCTATCGGAGGGATATTGTTAAACTTGAAAGAGTTCAGAAAAGATTCACAAGGATGTTGCTGTGGTTTGAGGGTTTGAGCTGTAGGGAGAGGCTGAACTGGCTGGGGCTTTTTCCTCTGGAGCATCAGAGGCTGAGGGGTGACCTTATAGAGGTTTATAAAATCATGGGCATGGATAGGGTGAATAGTCAAGATCTTTTCCCCAGGGTGGGGGAATCCAAAACTAGAGGGCATTGGTTTAAGGTGAGAGGGCAAAGATTTAAAAGGGATCTAAGGGTCAACTTTTTCATGCAGAGAGTGGTGTGTGTATGGAATGAACTGCCAGAGGAAGTGGTGGAGGCGGGTACAATTAAAACATTTAAAAGGCATCTGGATAGTTACATGAATAGGAAGGGTTTAGAGGGATATGAGCCAAATGCTGGCAAATGGCACTAGATTAATTTAGGATATCTGGTCAGCATGGATGGGTTGGACCGAAGGGTCTGTTTCTGTACTGTACAGCTGTAGGACTCTGTATATTATTTGTTTATTATATATTCTTGATATTGTATATTTAGTAATTGTTATTATTTAGTGCTATTGACTTTTTAATTAATTATTTACAGGTATTATTTACCATTATTCATTATATTACTATGTATTTGTTCACTGTTCATTATCTATGATCATTACTCATTAATCACTATTCATTAATTATTTTTGTTATTTATGATTAATTTTGTCATTAATCATTATTTACCCTGCATTTATTGAATGATTTATGATAATTATTTGTTATTTACTATATTTTATATACTCAATAATTATTGTACGATATGTCTTTATTCATTCATTTTACCATTATTAATTATTTAGAATTAAGTTATTGTATGTTATTTGCTGATTATTTATTTCTTAGTGTATTATTTACAAATATTAATAAACACTACTGTATATTTATTATTTACCATTAATTATTATTTATCATATTTACTGTTTATTATTTACAATTAATGACTATCTCACGATTTGCTATATATTTATTTTGTTTATTGTTTATTCATTATCTATTATTTAAAATTATGAATCAATATTTATTGTTCACTTTTTTTGTTTATTTTAATTATCATTCATTGTACATTTGTTATTGTTTACTGTTATTCGTCATCTTTAGTCATTTACTATATGTTATTGTTTATTATTTACTGTTATTTATGATCATTAATTGTTTTATTTTTGTTGTTTATTAATTTTTTAATAAAATTCCGATATTCTACCTGACCTCTGACCCCCCAAACCTGAGCGCGGGAAGGAAGGTCATGAAGAGGAAAATAAACCAGAGGGACTACTCCGGCTTTTAATTCCACTTTAAGTGATGAGGAGAAAGAGCCAGAGTGAGAGAGAGAAAGAAATAGATAAAATGTACAAAAAAAAACTTTTTATAAATGTTCCCTCGAGCCTAAACCCGCTGTTCAGTTTCCGGTTCCGGTCTGGGGCCGCGCATCTGTCACCCTTTGTGTTGGGTGAGCCGCCTGCATTAGTTTCCGGTTCCGGTCTGGGGCGGCGCTTCGGTGACCATCTGTGTTGGGTGAGCCGCCTGCATTAGTTTCCGGTTCCGGTCCCGCGCTCATGTGACCCCCATCGTGTTTACGGCCGGGAGGTCGGCGGTTTCTGGTTCCGGTCCGCTCTTGGCGCTCACGTGGTGCCGGCGGGTAGAAGCGGGAGCGGGACAGTTCCGGGCCGAGTGGCAGCGTCTCCTCCTGCATCGTCTGGGTCTGGGGGAGGGGGTGTCTTGTTGGCTCGGGGTGGGACAGCTCGGGGAGGAGGGCAGTGTCTGGGGGAGAAGGGTACAAACGGCTGGCTTTGGGCAGGCCCTCCCCGGGCGAGAGGGGGTCACTTGGCCCGGCGGGCGGCGACCTCGCCACCCCCTCCCGAGAGGGGGGGGTCACTAGGCCCTCCCCGGGCCAGAGGGGGTCACTAGGCCAGAGGGGGTCACCAGGCCCTCCCCAGGCCAGAGGGTGTACCAGGCCCAGCAGGAGGAGGCCTCCGGGCCACTGAGCCGAGAGGCGCAGGGAGACCGGGAACCCAGTGTTTTGGAGCAGGGGCTTGCCCAGGATCGGACAGTCTCCGTTGGCTGACCAGCAGGTGCTTAGAGCCCAGGCAGAGAAAGACCGTTTGTAGTTGGGTGCCCAGTGGGAGAGAGACAGACCGGGGATCGTTGGGTGCCCAGTGGGAGAGAGACAGACCGGGGATCGTTGGGTGCCCAGTGGGAGAGAGACAAACAGGCCTTTGGTTTGCAGCCAAGGAGGCCCTCGGGCAAAAGGTCACCAGTGAAAGGAGCAGGTAGCAGCCGCTGCCCAGTGCCCGCTGCTGCTACTCTGTCAACGTTGCAGCCCAACAGCCCGGCCGGCGAGGTGAGCCAGCGATCGCCCAGCCGGCAGCCTGACTGTACAGCTGCTGATACGAGGTGGGACCCTCTCCCATATAGGGCAACATGGCGAGCTCTGACATCCTCGAATACAATGACATCTACCAGGAGCTGAAAGGAACAATGGTATGTACTCGCAAGATGGGGAGGGGGGGGTTGGTGTCTGGAGAGGAAACCTCAACGTCAGGACTGTACAGAAATGAGTACCTGCCTTTGGTGGGAGGAGGTGGTTGAAGATACAGTGATAGGGTGAAACAGGGTGATATTCGATGGGGGGCGCGGTACGATATTAGATTTTTTTTTTTGGATTCATTGATGGGATGTGGGCATGACTGGCTGGGTCAGCATTTGTTGCCTGATCCTAATTGTTGAGAGTCAACCACATTGCTGTGGGTCTGGAGTCATACGTAGGCCAGACCAGGTGAGGATGGCAGATTTCTTTCCCTGAAGGAGACTAGAGAACCGGATGAACCACCATCTGCTGTCGCAGGATTTGACTCCAGGTCTCCGGATGAATTGGCTCACGATACTACCACTAGGTCATCACCTCCCTTTGAATGGGGAATGGGGTCACATCTGCCCTTGGTGTGGTGAGATCCCTGAGCTGGAAATTTGCACAATGACCACCTCCTGATCTCTGTCCCATAGTCTCCTCTCAGCACCCTACCCCACTCCAGGGGAGACCCCTCATGATACTGAACATCTCCCCCTAAGCCTTCTGTGCTCGACGGAAAACCCTATCAGAGAGGCTGCACGTGACCTGAAGTCATACAGGTGTACAGCATAGAAACAGACCCTTCAGCCCAACTCGTCCACACTGACCAGTTATCCTAAATTAATCTGGTCCTATTTGCCAGCATTTGGCCCATATTCCTCTAAGCCCTTCCTTTTCATATACCCATCCTGATGCCTTTTAAATGTTGTCATTGTACCAGCCTCCACCACTTCCTCTGGCAGCTCATTCCATACACGCGCCACCCTCTGTGTGGAAAAAGTTGCCCCTTAGGTCCCTTTTAACTCTTTCTCCTCCCACCTTAAACCAATGCCCCTCCAGTTTTGGAGACCCCCACCCTGGGGAAAAGACCTTGTCTATTTACCCTATCGATGCCCCTCGTGATTTTATAAACCTCTATAAGGTCACCCCTCAGCCTCCAACACTCCAGGGAAAATAGCCCTAGCCTATTCAGCCTCTCCCTGTAGCTCAAACCTTCCAAACCTGGCAATATCCTTGTAAATCTTTTCTGAACCCTTTCAAGTTTCACACCATCCTTCCTATAGCAGGGAGACCAGAACTGAATGCAGTATTCCAAAATTGGGCTCATCAGTGTCCTGTACAGCTGTAACATAATCTCCCAACCGCTATATTTGCTCGATTCATGGAACAATAAAGGCCAGCATACCAAACACCACCTTCACTGCCCTGCCTGAAGTCTCTTACTTCCTGGTGGTGAGGGTGAGGAGGGAGATCTCTGTAAAGGATTGTGTTGTAACCTGTGAGCTGTTGCTACTCCCAACCCCATGCAGATCGATGGACGCCTGCGTCTGAGCCGTCAGACAATTGTCTTTAAGAACAGTAAGACCGGGAAAGTGGACAGTGTCCAAGCCTCAGACGTCAGTGATGGCGTGTGGCGTCGTGTTGCCAGGGGTTATGGCATCAGGCTCCAACTGAAGAATGGCAACCTCTGCAAGTTTGATGGATTCCGGGAAGGGGTGAGTGTGGAAAGACAGACCAAGCCTGAGGCTATCGGGAAGGAGAATCTCCCTCCTGGCCCCTCTTTCTCCACCCCCCACCCAGCCACCTCTGGTCAGGAGAGCACTCGAATTCTGTCTTGACAACTTGTTTTCCTGCCTGCAGTCACACCACTCAACCCATTGCATCTATCCCTGTGCTCGCTGATCTTAGAGCTGATCTCTTGTCCTGCTCCATCTGCCCCACTCCCTCCCTCAACCACGCATGTGAGTAGGTGCACAGTATCCCCCACCTCCCCCAAAGTGTTAGCTAACGGAGGGATATAGAGACCGGAACCGTACACAGTGCTCCCAGTGTGGGTCTAACTGAGGGATATAGAGACCGGAACTGTGCACGGTGCTCCCAGTGTGCTCTCAGCAAACAGCCATCTGTACTTGCTGGTCACTATCTTCTGTCTCTCTCTGTCTCTCTCTGTCTGTCTCTCTCTGTCTCTCTCTGTCTCTCTCTGTCTCTCTCTGTCT